AGAGACGGGGTCTCGCTCTTGCTCAGGCTGGTCTCGAACTCCTGAGCTCAAACAATCCGCCCGCCTCAGCCTCCCAGAGTGCTAGGATTACAGGCGTGAGCCACCGCACCCGGCCCTCTCCCCGCTTTTTTAGAGGATGAAAACAAATTTCTAAATGGCTAAATAATCATAACAATATTTTTAAAGTTTGTGATTTATTCTCCAAAAAGGTCAATATTCAATTCAATATTGTCTTATTACTATTTTACACTTTGCATACTTTCTCTTTATCTCATTTCGGTTTTAGCTTGAACAAGATTCAGATCTTGCCCACAGAACAAAGAGAGCAAAAGCAAGCTTGTAGGCACATTATGTGATTATAAGACTTCGGAAAGATTTGTGAATGATACAATGGAATTATGTGCATCTCCAGAGGTTGGCAATGGTTATTTAAGTGGTCATTAAAATAGTAAAGCCTCATTTGTTATGAGAATAAGTTGTCTATTACTTATGATTTATTAGATATTTTCAGGTTGAAACACACCTTTTGACTCTTGCTCGATTCTAAATTGTGTGTGATACAACTTATAGTGGAATAAACCAAATATTAAGCTAAAAATAAACATGCAAATAGTGCTCTAGAAATTTTAAGCAATACTTTCACTTCTCTTTCTCCTGGCCTTCACTAGCTAATATTTAAAGAAATAGTCTTTTTTTTTTTTCCCCCTTGAGACTGGGTCTTGCTCTGTTGCCCGGGCTAGAGTGCAGTGGTGTTGTCATAGCTCACTGCAACCTCAAACTCAAGCGATTCTCCTGCCTCGGCCTCCCAAAGTGCTAGGATCACAGGCGTGAGCCACCGTGCCCAGCCTCGAAGAAATACATTCTACAAGGCATGTCTGAATCACCGTTAAATAATGAAGGTGAACTCAGAGCAGTGTAGCTAACCTCCAAATAGTTTTGCTACCAAAGGGAAAAGAGGTGTAAAAGAAATTTAAATCCCTTCCCCAACCCAGGAAAATGGATATAAAATATACTTTTTAATGTCTATAATAAACGAGACAGTGGGGAAGGAATGAGTGGAATACATACCGTGGTGTTCTTCCTGAGAGGGGTTTCCGGGTAGCTCTGAAGAGGATATAACTGGTGATAACTGAGAACATTCCCCACATAGACAGAAACCTCCACCAATAAAGTTTTATCGTAAAATACAAAGGGACAACCCACATCTGCAACAAGGTCACCAGCTGTCAGAGAAATGAACAGAAAGTCTCTTTCAGTGACTGAGGGCCTGAATTGTTAAATGATCCAGAAGCTTCCCTGGGGGAAACCACCTTCACCATCATGTCTATATCATGCAACTTGTTCACCATCAAACTGTAAGCTGTTCCTAAACATGCCAGCTTATGGAGAGAACTGGCACAATTATCTGGAAAATAATCCGTCTTCTGTCACTTCCTTTCATCTAACTTCTTCAGGTGAAAGCCCTTTTTGGCCTCAACAGCTGCGTGATTTTGGACAAGTGAGCCTCACGTTAGTGGTAAAACTGGGGATACCAACGGCTGCACTGCTTCCCAGTGCAGATGGAGTGGGCATCACTGAGACCATGGACGGAAAGCACTCTGAACACACTACTGCACTCTGTGGGGGCAAGGGCTGCTGTCACTATCGTGTGCCCATGTGAAAGTGACAGTGACGCCAAAGGAGGAAGTGGAGGTCAGTGTTTCAAAGCAGCTCCCGGGATCTTTTCCACCTGCTGTTCCAGTGCACTCTGCAGGGGTTCCTGTTCCTCTGTGCATAACCCCTTCGTGGCCTGTACCATTGATCTGAGTCCGAGCAGCCCTCGGAGGCTCATAGGTCAGGGAGCAAGACAGCTGAGCTGGTGGGCTGTGGGGCACTGACCTGGTAAGGTTATCGGAGCCCATATTCCCACTCTTCAGAGCAGGCCTAATGCCAGCGGGTCACCTGTCTTGTGAAAAAGCAGACAGGATTAAACAATGGCAATAACCATTGGTCTTTCGTGTTTTATCCCATTCAGACTAACCACCAACTATTTGCTCAGAATTAATATAAGGGGAATGGCAAAGAGGTTTTGTCTCCAATATGGGCATCAGTTAATTTTTAGTGGCACCCTGCAGTGCTGTTTTGAGGATTCTGAGTCTGGATCCTGGTTTGGTTGTCGAGTCTCATGCAGAGTTAATTACATCTGCCAGTGATACGGGGGAGTTATTAGAGCTTGCACATCCCATATGTATCATCCTGCATATAAAAAAGGCTGATGCCATTTGTTTTCTTTATCTTCTTAATCTTTGTGATAAAAAGGGGAGGCTTAGAAAAAAGGAGTCTATGGATACATTGTTGGCTCCTTTAATAAAGTCTTGAGGCCGGGCGCAGTGGCTCACGCCTGTAATCCTAGC